GAAATTAAAAATTGTAAAGATACACAAGATGCATGTCAAATGAGAGGATACACGAAACTTGATACATGATGAACGAAATAAATTTTTATCTCGACTCCATGTGTTTAATTAGATTCGCAATTAAGTTTGATTGCAATAAATCCTCATACTCTGTGTATTTTGCACACTTTTTTTTCACATTGGACGCACTTCGCGAGTTTTTGCAATTTTAGACTTCCGCATAAAAATCCACCAGGCTAATAATCGCGCTTATCATGCCCCTTAGACCAGCATAAAACAACAAACATTAATTGAAAAATAATATTTGCACTGCGCGTCTTTTCCACGCTGTCCTTTAAACTGCTGGTCTATACGTTCTTACCTGCCTGTGAAAGGCTTCACGTAATTAACAGCCGGACGTATTGTTTCAAGAAAAGTAATTTCTCTCGTTTAAATAAGTAGGAAAAGGGCGAACGCCGTTTCTTTCAGCTTGAATATCGTTTATGTTTCTTCGCGCAGCTTCCAGTTTGTTTCAACCTTACAATATTCCGAAGTTTTCTGATCGCGGAAGATTGAGAAGAAAAATGAGCAAACAGGAGGAAAGCAGGAGAGGCAAAGGTTGCGCGATCATCGTTAACAATTTCAACGCACCACTTATCGAAACTAATAAAAACACTCGGACGGAACTTCAGTTTCTTTATTATCCGGTACCACTCCTTTGAAAATCTTTTTTACGCGCTTATCATAGATATTATTGCATTCTTGTTTCGGCGCATATTAAACTCAGTTCGGCAAAATTCTACGAGAAGTCGTTGAATTGAAGATTCAAGGAAGTATCTGCTCCTCGCTTACGAGACTGTACAACGATGAGTTAAGTTAAAGAAAAACTCATTTACGTAACGTATACAACAATATTTCAATAACGCGACTGCTGAAAGACATTAAACGACAAAACTTACATAAATAATCAATTCTTACAATAGCGAGAAACGAGAAACGAGAAAAAAAGCAAGAAAGTAACAAACCAAAGGAACAAGAATACTGGGTTGCTTCTATTACCGGATGTTAAGTTTCCTTCTTTCGCCTTTTTCTTTTCGCGTACGAACCTGATTAATGTAGTAGAACGTCACGAGCAACGTCACCGCCGGAACATCGTAAATACGCGAACCAGATGGCTGGCCAGTAATTTCGGAAATGAACAGTGGAAAACGTCAAGAATAATCACGTTAGAACGCGGACTGTTGGTCAGTTAGCGAAGTCCTTCATATTTCGCGGTTGTGTGCAGTGTTAAGCAACCGGAGTCTAAATTTTATGAGTGTATAGCGGAATACAAATACCATTCTGTTCGCTTAGTTTGTCGAAACAATTTGTGATTTTCTGCTCGGACAGCGTGAGTGACTTAACAGCCTTGTAGTTTCCAACCGGGTTGTTAATAGAATGTTTCTATTAACAATTCTTATCACGCTGAAGCCAAACGCGGAAACAGCCAATCTTTTTCCAAAATCGTTTCGTGAAATCCATTTAAATCCATTTGAGTCCAAATACGAATGCTAATACAGTTTACTCTCTATTGCTATTATTATTGTTCCATTAATACAGTCTATTGAATTTATTATATGTACAGTAAATTCATTGGGATTTGTTAAAATATTCGTAGAAACTGGAAAATTTACCATAAGTAAATCTAGCTGCGAGTTGTAAATTTAATTAAACTTACTAGACTAAACCTAACGTAAAATAATTTACTAAACTATTGGATTTAAATAAATAGTTTAATAAATTAAGTGATAATAATTTAAAGTTAAAATGTACTTTAACTCTGCTCTGTTCAATAACTTCCAAAACAAAAGGTTTACAAATGCCGTTTAAAATTTGTAGCCCACTCCTATCGTACAACAGCAATTCAGATTTCAAAGGGGCAATATGAAGTTGCGGACCAGTTCTCCAAACGAAGAACGCAAACAATATCCCTGCTAGATAGCTTTGGTGCATGCAAAATACGAACAATCGCACGAACTCACACTCTCGCCATTTTACGTCTTGCAAAACGAAGATTAAAATATAATGTCAGGAGTGGAGAGAAAAAAAAATAAGTCCATCAAAGTTATACCTCGCTCGAATAACATACTAATTAATTTAAACAAGTTCCTTGACATTTCTCGAAGCAGCGTTACGATTAGGTGAAGCTTCGGGTCGAATACAAGAGAATGTAAATGATAGGAGCTGCAAGTTCATTATAACGCCGTGGCGAGACTGCACAATTGTTCGCGGGACTTTTGTGAATGGCAGTTAATTATAATTAATTCCATATTGTCTGGTCGACAACTCGTGGTGATTCTTCGCCCGGGAAGGATCATTCAAAACGCGGCCGCGAACTTTTAGTTATTACCAGAATTAATATGAATACCAAATTGCTACATCGTACCGGTGAGATAACTTTCCATGGTTTTCCTTTTTCTTCTTCTTCTTTTTTTTTT